TATAAAAAAAAATACACACAAAAAAAGTATATATATATATATATATATATATATATATATATATATATTAATTCGGTCTTATTCAAAATACTTCTAACTTGATCTTAACTAAAGTAATTTTAACTTGACTGTAATTAATGTATGTATCTTTAAGTGAACTTTATTAAAAGTTCTTCAACTAGATCTAATATACAACATTTTGAGTTTGATTTTAACAAGAATATATCTAACTCGGCCTTAATTAAAACATATTTAGTTTGATCTCAAGTAAAATATGATCTTGGTGAAAATATCTTTATATTAATCTTAACAAAAGTATTTTAACTTCACTCAAATAGAATATCTTTAATTGGAATTCTATCAGAATATCTTTACTTTAGCCTCAATTAGAATAGTTCCAATACAATCTTAATTAAAATGTCTTCAACATAATAACTTACCTAAATGCACCGGATAAATCCTAAAAATTCTTTTGTAACTCTTAGTTTAGGCTAGTTGAATTGTTAGGTTGATGAATCCATTTTCTGCCCTAACTCTTATACATGATTTATCTAGAGGGGGGAAAAAAGCTTATATATGATTACATAAAGAAAATGGGTCAAATTTTAAAATTTAAAGCCATGGATTGACCGTATCCATAGGGCTTTATAGGCTTTTTAATCTTGGGGACATTTTGTCCTTATGAGCATTTCTGGGCCTGATCCATGTGGTCTAAGGCCTAATAGGATGGATTAATCTACTTTGTTAGCTCTAATTTCGACACATAAATGATGAGAATAACACTTACCATTTTCATTTTTTTTTGTTATTTTATTTTAGGGATGGGAGAGTCCCAAAACAAAGACTGACTATACTCTTGGAAGACATGGAGTCCCATTTTGTCTCTAGGCAAAAGATGAGAACAACCAACAAGGGGAAAGGACAAGACATGAAGACCAGGGCCCATAATTGTGAGCAAAAGAAGCCAACCACATAATTCACTTCTTTGTGAACATGAGTTACTACAACGTGCCACTTTCTGGCTAAACAATACACAAAGGTACCAGGTATGTTTTCTTTTTACCTTCACTTTTCCAATTCTTAAATTCTTAGGTGTTGGAATATTTTGCAGGTATTCCACCCCATGCAACCAATTAGAAGAATTTCGATGTAATTGAGTAGTATCGTGATCAAGTGAGAGAATACTCTACATGTTGAGCAATGTCTCTTTAGGTGTTAACCATCATTATCCATGTCACCATTACATTGTTATCAAATTATGTTTTTGTAGCTTTCTTTTACAAAATTATATTTTTTAAAATTTTAAAAAAATAATTTTATTGTTTTAAATTTGAAAACTACTAAAATAATTCATTTGAATTTTTTTTTAAAAAAAGTTACACATGTAGTATAATTTTAATTAAATATTTTTTTTTCGGAAAATGCAAACAATTAAACAAACTCATTTCCTAATTTATATATTTGTTTGTATTACTTACTTAGCCTTTACTCATTTTCCCAAGCTCAACAACTGTGCTAGTGTTTCGGCCTTTTCGTATTCACAACTTGTGGGCCTGAGAACAAAATCACATGTACTTTCTAACTTAAAATATTGTTTGGTTTTGTCCCGAAACTAACTGTTTGTTTGTTTAGCTTCTTTCATAAAAGTATAAAAATCTTTAAAATTTAAAGTTTGTTCCCCATTTAACATAAACCAGACATTTTATGATCTAATTGAGTATGGATAGGGGATTATAAATACAACTAATATTTTAGTACTTATAATATACATATTTATTATATATAATTAATATAACATTATGAAATTTGTTAGTAATTTATGACCTCTATTGATTTAAATGTTGCTGTGATTAATTGTTTATTAGTTGTAAAACTCTAAGAATTTAGAAATTTTAATGAGTTTCCGTGGTTTAGTAGTTGTTTTGAGTTAAGGTT